TTTTTGGATAAATTTAGATGGAAATGCTATCCAAAGGTACATTTCAAGCAAGAGTTGAATTCTGAGTGGCATTCAGGAGAAAGGCTTGGACTTATGCACACATTTTGGATCATCAGTTTCTACATAGCAAAACATGGGACTGGATAAGGTCAATCCAAGCATGGGTGTGGGTGGAGTAGAGAAAACCCAAGCCCTAGTGTCCTCTTGTAGTCATAGACCGAGACTGTGAAGTAGAAGCGGCACAGGAGACTTGAGCCAGTGAAACTGTAGGAGAGACTGGGGGTGAGGGCAGAACTCAGAGGAACTTTCTTGGGAGATTGACTGGGCCCCGTGTTGCTAGCAAGTGGAGAGTGGGTCTAGAATGGGCCACATGCACCATTAGTGGCTCTGGCAAGAGGGAAAGCTGGGCCCGAGGATCAAGTAGGGCAGATTTAAGAAACAAAGAGAGGAACTCCTCAATGCATGAGCCAGAGGAGTCAATGCAGAGACAATGACTCCAAGGGGTTTTGAAATAAAGCAAGAGAACTTGGCCATCATGACACAGGTGTGGGAAAAAGGGTTGGGGACCTGGTGAGAAATCTTATGCATTATACAGTTAGTGTGTTAGGACAAGAGATCTCACACTTGTTCCCTTTCTAGCCTTGTGTGTCCCTTGTCCTTTGGTCTGGGGCTAGATTAAGTATTCTAGAACACCAACTGGACACCCTAAGGAACATCACAGGGTTTGAGTATAGCTGCACTCCAGTTGTAGGGCTACAACCTAGGATGTTCTTTTCTGTTAAGTAAATGTTATTTACCTTTGCAAGTCAGGATCTCACTCAATATGTAGCTCAGCCTAACCCTGAAATTGTGATCCTCTTGCATCATCCTCCCAGATAACATATCGTAAGCTAACACTCGGGAAGATGCCTCTCCATTCAAACACGTGCACGCTCTGGAATCGCACAGCTTTGTCTTCACATTGGCAGGGCAACATCCACATGGGTCCCAGTGCCTGCTCCAAGGGGACTTCACACTCTCCCCAGTCCTGGGGTGTCCACGGCATTCCTCACTTTAGAGTTGGGGCCTCCGATGTTGGAAACCTAACCAAGGGCAGACAGGAAACTGGAATTAGGGCACAGGTACCCAGACATAAGATCCACAATCACAATTGCACCAGGCTGCCTGGGTGGCCATAGGCTTTGGATGCTGAGCTATTTTTAAGAGGTGTTCCGTCTTCGCTGAGTTCAGAGTGAAGTCATCTCCAAGAGCCCTACATGTAATTTCCACATGGAAGCACCGCAGATCTCCTCAGAGGTCTGTCTAGAGAGCATTATCAGGAAACTTGGACCAGACAAGGAACCTACTTGGTTTACAAGGAGCTGAGAAAGCCATTATTACATACGAGAACTTCAAGACCCCAGGGCTGGGTGACATTCAACCTAGCTTCTTGGGCCCAAGTTTGCACTTTCTCAGGGACCCAGACCTTATCACACTCTCCACCCCAGATGCAGCACAGCCTCGAGTATTACCTGCATTTTCCCTCCCTCTTTTCTAAACCTCCCACCTTCCCGCCCAGACCACTGAGGATTCTGTCCCAGGAGAGAGCAGTCAAGGCAAGAAAACATTGCCAAGGGAGTAGCTCAGAAGGGCACATTTCTTTTCTTTTCTTCCTTCCTTTCTTTTTTGTTTTGTTTTGTTTTGTTTATTTTTTTGGGTTTTTTTGTTTTTATTTTTGTTTTCATTTTGAAGCCTGTCCAGGAACTTGCTCTATAGACCAGGCTCGCCTCAAGCTCACAGAGATCCACCTGCCTCTGCCTCCCGAGTGCTGGGGTTAAAGGTGTGTGCCACCAATGCCTGGCTAGAAGAGCACATTTCAAACGAGAGTGTTAGTGGTGCTCCCCAGAGCTCTCTGGAGAAAATGGCCTTCATATTCAACTCCAAAGACTCTCAAGCCCCTGCCCTGAAAACTGAGCTCTCCCTCCCAGTGATGAAGTCAACCTTTCTTGGCCTTCTCCACCTTCTTCTCTCTCTCCTCCCTGGCTCATCACCCATCACCCTGACTGACTCACTTGGAAAATGTGAGAAATTATTTCATAAAGAACTGCCCTGAGGAAATGGACAGGTAACAGGCTTTAAAGAAATGATATCAGCTCATGCTTCATTTAGTAAGAACTATGCTCACAGTGTGGCTGTTGGTAAGCAAGACAGAGAGCAGATAATAGGAAAGATGGACAGGCTGCCAGCAGAGCTTTCTGGTAAAGCGCACTTTCCCTTTCTGTGGAGCCGTGCCAAGGAAAGCCGCTCTGCCTCGCTTGCTCTATGGAGTGAGGCAGGGCCTGGGACTCAGGCCAGCCTGATGGCAACCATAGAACTAACATGAGCTATGTGGCTTTCAGTCAATGACTTCATGCTTCAATGTTCCACGCAAGGAAAGGGGACGATGATACAAATTTCACTTTTTCACCATGTGTGCATGCGTGTGCAGGTGTGTGTGAGTGTATACATGTGTGTGAATCTTTATATGTGCCAAGTGCCAGGCATTGTGGTAGACAGGGCTGAGCATTGTGTAGGAACTCGACAGGCTGCAGGGACAGGGCAGGAAGACAGAATGGCAGGGTGGGAGTCAGTTGACGTTGGAGCTGGAAAGCCTTTCTTGTCAAAGGTTAAGGAGTGCCGTTGGCAATGGGTAGCGTGGCTCCAAAACTTTGGAAGGACGAACTCCTATCCCGCTGATAACTTTGTCTTCCTTTCAGCCTCATAGAACAGGCGTCAAATGGGAATCAAAGTTGTATTGACAAGTGCAGGCCATGGGCCAAAGGTGGGCTGAAGCATGAGGAAGACTCCAAGCATAATGAGCATTCCTTCCTACCTGTCCCCACATCTAATCTGAGGTTTATGAGCACAGCTTCCAGCTGTGTGAACTGAGGGTAGAAAAAAAAGCCATATAAAGAGATCTGTAGAGTAAGATTGGCAACAGGGGCTCCCTAGCTCTATAGTTATTTCCTGACACAGCAGCCACCGCCCCCACCTCCACCACCAAAACAAAAGCCCTAGCTCAAGTGGAAAGCCATTGGAAAACCTCACAGAGGAGAAACCTAGAAAAAAAACAAGGTATAGTTTTATACTTGTATTGCTTATATTATAACCACGGGAGTTGGATAAGGAGCAGGATGGTCATGCTAAGAAATGGTAAGCCGGAGGATGAAATTGAAAAATACTCAAGCAGGAAAGGAATGAAAAAGAGAGGAGATAAGGTTTTACATTAGAAATGCGAAAAATCTGGATAGCTGGAGTTATCAGAAGAAAAATCAAACTGGAAAAAAGAAAAAACTTATAATACAGATACATTTTCTGAAAAAAAAGAAAGACCAATCTCAGATAGAAAAGACTCAGATGGAGGCAGGAAGAGCAAAAATCGAGTCCATCTACACATTTTAAATTATCAAAGACAAATATTCTAAAAGCTTATGAAGTTCATTAAGGTGCCTGGTTATAAAATTAACAAATAAAAGTCAAAGATGCCTTTTCTGGTTTTTGAGACAAGGTCTCTTTATGCAACTCTGTCTATCCTACAACTCACTATGTAGACCAGACAGGCCGCAAACTCACAGAGATCTGCCTGCATCTGCTTTGTTGGGATTAAAGGTGTGCAACACCATTCCCAGCCCAAGTGATGCTTCTTGCAGCAGCAGCAAATAACTGGAAAATGCAATTGAAGAGATCTCCTTTACATATCATTAATAAATATGCATCTGTAAGGATAAATCCAACAAAGGACACTAAAGAATGAGAATGTTACTACATGATATTTTGAAATCATAAATCATATCAGGGAAACTGATTATCCTAAAGATAGCAAGTCTTTCCAGTCTGACCTCTACATTAAAGCAATATCAGGCTGGCAAGATGACTGGGCAGGTAAGGGTGCCTACCACCAAGCCTGTTGACCTGAATTCAAGACCCAGGCCATAGAAGGAGAGAGCCAGTTCCTTAAAATTGTCCTCTGACTTCTATACTCATACTCTAAATGCACACACACACACACACACAGAGAGAGAGAGAGAGAGAGAGAGAGAGAGAGAGACAGAGACAGAGACAGAGACAGAGACAGAGAGAGAACAAATAAAATACATTAATAAAAAACCCTATAAGTAACAAGGCACAGCCCAATTGAAAATGGGCACAAACAGTGTCAACAGGCACCACCAAGACAATATGAGGGTGCCTCATAAGCACATGAAAAGAAATTAAAGTCATTTTTCATTAGTGAAAAGCAAATTCAAGACACAGTGAAAACCCATACTAATTTCAGTGTGTCTAAAATGAAAACCTGATTGTAGCAAGTAGCAAGTATTGGTGGGGAGGTGAGACAGCTTTTATTGGCTCCTGGAAGAACTGTAAATTAGAACAATTCCTTTGCCAAACAGTTTGGCGTTGCCCCAGAAGGCTGAACCTACCGCCCTATATAAGTCACCCACGCGACTGCTAAAGTCTTTGTCCAAAAGAAATGAAGTCGTGTGTGTACACAAAGATGCTCACAGTGGCTCTATGCCACTGTGAACCCCAACTGCCATCAACACAAGGTCTCTCAAGAGAGCAGATAATCAAACAGTCACACACATCTACAGTGGAATACCACTCCGCCATGAGAAGAAGTAAGCATGACACTGATGAATCTTAAAATAATAAAGCAAAGTACAAGAATCCGGGAAAAAACGAAAGAGAGAAAGGAAAAAAGGAAGGAAGGAAGGAAGGAAGGAAGGAAGGAAGGAAGGAAGGAAG